TCTAAATTGACTTCGTTTGGGACAGCTTTTTTCTTGCTTTCTAAAGCAGTTTTTTAGTATACAAGTTTTTTTAACTTGAAATTTTTGTTATTGAAAATTGCTTTAGAAAATGATAAAAAAACTGTCCCAAACGAAGCCTTAATTGTGCCGTATTAGTTAGATCGATTTTGCCAAACTATAGAGGAATACAAGATGATTAATATGGGCTTATAAGTTTAATCAATTTAGATTAATTTCCTTTAGGCCAAATACAGGCCGAGCAGCAAAAGCACAAAATAAATTAACAGAAACTGGGCTTATTTAAGTTAGGGTCGTTCGTACGATCTTCGCTCGTTTATAACAACTGCGTTGAATTTTATTATATTCATTTAGGATGTAAATAAAAGTTTTAATTTGATGTTGAAGTTTCAATAGCTAAAGTAAGAGTCTATTTGGAATGACTATAATATTTTATACAGTTGGTTGTAAAATTGCTGTGTAGAAAGCAATTGTGTTACTGTTGATCTTATTTTTATATGAGGTCTATTTCTCCGAGCTAATCCCTAGTGTTTAGGTCTTCATAGCCTCGTGTAGATATGTCACTGACAAGATCCCCCTCGTGGATGCCTATTGACTTAGCACTGACTAGGCCTCGTATTTCAATTCAAACCGGATCAAATTCGACCCAAATCCAATTTAATTCCAAGTGCGATAGTGCAATCGAACTTCGTTGATTTATTTGAGCCCGATTCGAGTTCAATTTGAACCTGATAGGTTTGATAGACGCTACATAATCCATCTCGGGTTAATTGAAATTAATTGGATGCTGAATCGAGCCATTTGAAGTCAATCCAAATTAATTTCATCAAATCGGACACTAACTGAACGCGATTCAACCCAATTTAATCAGATCAACGCTAACTAAATTAAAATGATTCAATTTTAACACAAGCCAAATCAAAATTAACTAATCCAATTCGATTTAAATGACAACAGCTCCGATTGACTTGTCAAGTTAATTAGAACCATTCTGATTTGAAACTTAACCATAATCTCTTTATTAATTATCTATTTAAATTTATTAATCAAATGTTAGCATTTAAATCTGTTTTTAATCCCACCCCCCCCGCCCACACATACACAATTTCATTAAAATTTTAAAAAGAAGATCAGGGAGCGATTAGTAATAAGCGATTTTCCTGGACGCAATTAAAAGAAAGTTGTTAGGGCAGGTGTTCCCTGCACCTTCTTCCTCCTGTTCGTGCATTTCTTGTTAGCACATATGATAAGCAAGCATCAGCTAAGTAAGCTAAAAAATTTTATCTGATCTATTCATATGCATTATTTGTTTATGTACGATTTATGAATGCTATTAATGTATTTGTCAATGCCATCAATGTTATATATATATGTGCTTTAATGTATGATTTAGCAAGATAGTCCATCCTATTTTAATATAGTATTTTCATCATTTATCTATTCATTCATATCTTTTATATCATATCACCATCATCATTGTATTTGTTATCATTTTCCTTACATGTAGCTATCAATAATAATTAAGAGTTGTTATCCTTTGTCCATCGGTGTAATTAAATTATCCGTTACAGGCAACAATTGAGATATCACCATAAATCATCTTTAAAGAAAAGCTCGTCGATCCATCATTATGTGCAGGGTATTATATTTTAACAACCAACACATTTTATGGTGTTAACAATTAGCCTTTCTTGTTTTTACAAATGTCACAATCAAAATATAGTATGAAATAATCAATTATATTTAATACAATAAAATTTATATAATATCTATAACTTCAAAAAATTATAACTTTTATTTTTAAGCGGTGAAATTCAGCAATATTATTGTCAAAATATTCACACTATTCATATATATTATATACAAAAAGTTATATGATAATAACTCAATAAGTTAAAAGAAAATGAATTTTTATTAATTTACAAGAGGAAGAAATCCATCAAGTTCAAAATCATTGAAAACCAAAATAAGATATGAGTTACTTACAATGATTAGAAGAAATTTCTAAACAAACCGACAAACGAAAAAACCCCGAATAACCTTCTCTCTCTTCCTTCTTCATCAATATACAACGTTGAAATTCAAAATTTTCATTTGCAAAAAAATCATTTTAGAAATTCAGGTTATTATAGAAGGAACATTTGAATTTCTTTAAAAGAGATAGTCTAATGATTTGGAATTGTGATTTGTTATGAGTAATTTATGATGACATATGGTTGATAATATATAATGTTATAAGGAGGGTTCCAATCTATAGGTGATGGGGAAGGTGTTCCTCAACTAGGAGAGTTTAAGTTTCCTTCAAAAAAAAAAAAAAAGTATGCGTTAGTGGTTTTGCTTTGTAATGCCATATTGCTTAGGTGTATACAAGTAGCTAATATTATGTATGATGCCATTAGTATTGATCAAGTTTTTAAGAATGTGATTGGTATCTGTAGTGCCCTTGTCAGATCATAGGATTTCAGTATGGATCCCAAATTATATTTCAATCATTTGTTTAAATTTAATGAAGTTGTGTGATGTTTTAATTTTTTAAGCACTAAAAGTCTCAATACTAATGAAAAAATTCTTTCACAAAAATAACATAATATTTTTATCCTTAAAACGAATTAATGAGAGATAGACCCCATACTTCATAATGAATTAGTTATAAGAGCTAATAAGGGTGATTGCTAGAGGGATAGATTGAGAGATAATGACTTTTGGGAGCCTTACAGGATTTAAAACATGAAAAATTAAGGCGGATATGTAAAGACTTATTTTATTTAGATATTAAGTATAGAGTTTGATGTGTCATAGAAGACAATGATATAGATTGTTAGTGGACTTGGAGAGCAATATATTTGCCAATGGCATGATAGATAATGGTTGGAGAATGGGTAGATACCATTGTAGCATAGACTTTGAAGAATTGTTTGTTGTGTCCTCAAATTCTTGATTTGTTAGCGAGTGGTGCCAAAAGAAATGAAATAATTATTATTCAATGTGAGATTATATACATAAAGATGATTATGGAGGATTACATGTGCATAAAGAATATAAATAAATGAAGTTGGCATGGTGGTGTGGGGAGGAGTCATTGTCCAGTATGTGTGACTAGGAGGTAGTTGTCATTGCCAAAGAATATTTGATCTGATCCTTAAAATGGTGTAGATTGGTGTATATGTTTAAGATCCTTGGTGAGATGGTTTGTGGCACTGGAGTCTAGATATGATTCTAATAAGGCATGTCTCGGTGAGCATATTTGGAAGTGTTTGGGGGTGTATTTGACATTTATATGATGCCAACATAGAATGAATGGTTGTGCCACTTACTGTGTTTACCCCATTAGCAAGGCAAATCATAGCCACAACCATGGTAGGTTTCTTGTGTTACATGAATTTCAACTGTGAGTTTTTCTTTTATGGCATCATAAACAATATTGATTTCTTAATTACACAAAAAAAGAGTATAAAATAAATTGTCAACACTTGAACGTGTGATCCTAGTCCATTTGACTATTTTAAACGTTTGGTATGTCGAAGGTAGGACATTGATTATGTAAAGGATGATATATTCTTTGTTAATCGTGGATCTAGTAGTAGTGATGTTATCCATCAAAGTTTTGATTTTATTAAGGATTAGGTAATAGTATGAGTATTCATAGAATATATTGTGTAACTTATTTTTTAGTTGAATCATCGAGAGTGATTTGTTGATTAGAAGTGGTGTTCAAGTACCACCTATATATCCAAGCAAAAATCGAGTGTGTAGGCATAGGGAAGAATAATGTCCAAGAGGGTGCAGTAGTGAGAAACTACTATACTTTGATAAATCTACATCCATGTATTGTATGTTGGGCTTATAATGAGTAGGTTGGTGAAGTAAACAATCAATTTATTTGGCCATGGTACGCAACCATCAAGAAATTCTTAGAAGCTATTGACCTATTTTGAGGATTTTTT